GGAGAAAAGTCCACATATGTTGTACTGTCGACAGAGTCTGGCCTCTCCCGGCAGAGAACTTTGGTGTTCTGCATTGCCTGAAATCGGTGGCTGCTTGACAATGTGCTCTCGTCAGTTGCTTCCAAACGCGTATCCGAGCACCAAAAGCCGCACCCTCGGCCCTAATCCGCCACATCAGACCAATGATCCGCCTGGCAGGGATGCGCTCGCCCGAAACCTGGAACCATCCCTCTACCGACCCGGAGCCGGAACCCACATCTATCGCAAGTACAGGTACACAATCATCTAATCAAACAAAAATCCATCTGGACTGAAGAAAGCTATCAACTCTGAACCTTCAGCCTCTCAAACAACAGATCCGACGCGGAGCCCTCGACTTCAAACCCCCAGCCCTAAACCCTGTTATGGCCCAGCATCTCGCCCCTCTCGCGCGAGGCCTCCTCGCGTCGTGCAGAGCCGAAGCGCGCCGGGCCGGCATCCTGCGTACAGAAACGCGCAAAGGAAAATAGGGGACCCCAATACATCCCGAAAAAGTAGGATGCTTATTATGCGGACCCCAAAACAATGACAGTAACGAAAAATTTTAATAATATGATGATGATGATGATGGTGATCACGACGATGACGAGGCTAAGCAACTGTTTGCTGGACACCACAAAAGGAAACCAACGATTGTCATCTGCAATAAAGTATACCTTTCACTGCACCTGTTGGTGGAGCCGGGGGCAGCCTCTTGAATTTCAGGGGTCAGAAGCATTGAATTTCACGCGACGCCAGAGCCTCCTGCCAAGATTTGGGGATCAGTCAGGATCTATCCAGGCCCTAAACCCTAAACCCCAAACCCCGTTATTATGATTATTCTAATGATTATCGTTCACATGTTTATTTTTTATTCCTCTTATAGGGCTCTTCTACTGCACGAATACAAAGAGCTTTGGCTCTGAAAGCTTCCGATGCTCGGCTGGGCCTCTGCTTCGCCCGAGCCGCTGGGCTTCCGGTAGCTAAGCCGGAGGCCGATGAGGCGCTGAAACTCCTGCGATTTGTGATTCGTTCATAAAAAATGGAAACCACGTAGTGATGGTATGCCTAAATAATGATAATATTAACTAATCATAATAATAATGACAAGAATGATAAGAAGGCGATGAAAACACTGACAATAACAATAATGGTCTCGTTCAAGAACGGACGGCAAAACGGTATGACAATGCCGATCTGCTGCTGTAGCTTGGCGTGTCGATGCCAAGGTTGCTCCTCAGAGTCCTATATGCCTACCGTACCATTTGCGCAAGTATTGTAGCAGTCGTGAGTAAGGTTATAGGCTCGAGGTCTGCAGCTTTTCGGACCTTCTGCATAAACAGGTCCTCGCCCGGAAGGTTTATGGCGGGCCTTCCCAAAATTACGATGTAACATGAGCTCGGATATGTATATGTACATGTGTATGCAATGTGTATTATGTACTATGTATATCTGCTTTATGTATATGTATACGTATACACATGCTGTTTCTTTGTTCGTGTATCTTTTTGCTTGTTTATTCACGAAGGCAGACTAGAGCAAAGCAGTCGGGCGTTCTCACCAAGAAGCCCCTTGTCCGACCGCCCGAAGCCGGGAATGGAGACAGGACGACCGACTTCAATCTGAAGGTGCACTTAGAATTTCGAGGAAACTGCCAGTATTGCGAAGCTGCCCGAATAAATTTGCGAACATCTCTTTCAGAGGACCGGACATGTCGCAGGCAGGACACGCAGCAGCAGTACCAAATGCCAACAAATAGAAATAACCTCACCAGAGCCACATTTGGAGTCCGTTCCCCCTGGCATCACTTCCAAACTCCAAACTCTGTGCAAGGCAGACCAAACCACAAGGAAGAGTCTGGGACCAAGCGATTGTGTCGGACAAGAATCTCCGAGACCTGGAGCTCCCCAGAATCCCAGACTCCAAACCCTCCGAGAACGTAGACAGAACCTGGCGTATGTAGCTTCTGAAACCTTAAACCCTGCAGAAGCACTACATCAGCCTCACCCAACATCCCGAAGGCCAGTCTGACACACTACTATACGGTACCACGCTATGCTATGCTTTCAACTCCTATACAAAACTAATTGTGCACTCTAACTCTACTCTACTACGCTCTAGGTACTGACTGCACTAAACCGATCTGCCCTAAGCAACCCTGGAGCTCCTCATAGTCCCGGAAAGGGAATCTCATATAGAACTCCCCAGGTACCCCCGGAACTCCTCATAGTCTCCCCTGCGGAAGACCCAAACCTCGTCCACAAATCGCGGAGTTTTTGGCTTTCGGGGGCTTCGCGGACTGGGATTCGAGACTTTGGGACCTTGATAGCTGGGTTTGGGGTTTAGGGATTCAGGGTTTATACAAGGGTGGGTAGGGAGGGTCTAGGGTTCGTCAATCTTGAATTTGAAATCTTGGGATCTGATGGTACTAGAAGACCACAAGCTTTGACTTCATTTGATGCTACTGCCTTATCAGCATCAAGAAGTGCTGCACGCGGGAAACACTGAAGCCCGATAAAACCCCACACCCCAAATCTAACGTACTAGAAGTATGTATGTATGGATATATATATATATATATACACACACATACTAAAGCATAGAAGCCGCAACATGATGTGCATTATGCACAGCATACCGTTGAAAAGTATATACGTGCGACAACTTTCGGTACGTACTCTGGGCTGCAAAGCCTCCTGCGCATCGTAGGCTCTGTCGCCGAACTGCACTAAACACTCTGCCCAATCTTTGGCCTGGCGTGCAGGGTATCGTGGTTTGATGTGGAAGGCGTTCAGTCTGAGCAAGTGGCTTTGCCATCAAGAGATCCGAGTCTGTTCAGGGCTCAGGGTATAATTCCTCCTGCTTCAACGTGTGTTTATGCCTTTCAGCGTTAGGGAATAGCTTCTGAATTTCAGGCCAACAACAACGACCTGTTGCCGAAAGCAGCCCAATATGATACCCCCCGATCTTAATCGCACTCTCAACTCGCAAACCTAAGATCTTCACCCAAATCCCATGTCCAATCCTTATGCAGGCCCAAGCGGACCGTCCTAAAAGAAAGCCTGGACCATTCGGATCAATCTTCGCGAGTGTGGTTTGTGCAAATCCCATCCTTGGATCGTACTGCGTCTTCCACATCCGGAGGGCGCATCCTGCCACGAGACTGCCGCCGAATCTGATCGCTACAAAGCCTGATGATAATTACAAGCGGTTCCATCCCCTCACGATCCGATTGAGCTCTCCTGCTGCTGACCTCAGCTCCCAGATGTGCTGCGTACTAAGTTCCAGGTTTCCAGGTTTCGAGAAGTATCCGTAAGCAACACCGAAATCGAACGAACCGTGCAAAGCGCAGTGCTGTAACTGGCCTGGTCGGTGGCTCCATCACAGCTCGTCTGGCAGTTGACTGTTGCAACTGCCTCCGGCACGCTGCGGCAAGCTAGCAGAGCCCGTACTGAATCTCAGTCCTAGAAGAGTTTCAGGCACCTTAAATCGGTTCTCTGCGACATGGACCACAAGGCACGGGCCGCGCCGGCAAAGGCCTGCACACCTCTGCACAGCAGGCAAAGGGTCCCATATGACCAAGGCACTGCACGATGGAAGTATATGGTCGCCACACCCCTATTCTAATCATTAAGGCCCCTATATTATACTATTTTGGGGAATCCTTACTATAATGATAGAGGCTCCGACCCGGCCGCCAAGCCAGTGCAAAGGCTGCAAGAGCCAGAATGCCCTGGCAGCGTCGCCTCGGCTTCGAGGCATCTTTTACTACTTGGAGGTTCATGGGACAGAGTAACTAGGGTGATAAGGGGCTCCTGTAAGGGTACCTATAGGGCTCTATAGTGGGCTTCCCTTTAAGGGTTTATAGGGTTTAGGGTCTACTTGGAGGTTCATGGGACTTAGTAACTAGGGTTACAATTAAGGTAACTATACTTATAGTTACTTATAACCCCACTAAAAGTACTTATAACCTTACTTACTAAGTCCCATGAACCTCCAAGTATACTGTTACTATACCAGACTACCCATGGGCCCCAAAGTAGTTCCGTTTGGGGCTCATATTTAGAATTCTATAAGGTAGTCCCAGGAAGGAACTCGGGGCCTATGGGTAGACTAGACTGGACTATACGATGCCTATACTATACAATACTATACTATGGTATTCTATACTATGATATGATGTACACTATAGTATCGTACCACTCGTACTGTACGACACTGTACACTATGATATGGTATGATGTATACTGTACGACACTGTAAAGTCAATTGTGCTATGCTCTACTGTACTGTACCATACTGCACGCTTTACAATGCAGTTTACTATACAGTATTTTACCATACTATACTATACTATACTACACCATCGTAGACTATACTGTACTTTATAGATCTTATACTGAATAATGCTCTACGGTACTATACGATACAACTATACAGTACAAGTAGCATGCACTACTGCACAAAACTATGAAACAGCATACACTAAGCACGATGCCCTGTACTACAGACTATATGTTCGGTTTCGTCTTCTAGACAGTTATACTATTACCATATGATACTATATACCATATAGTTCCTGCACACCATGCTACATATGGGAGTTTCCGAAAATAGGCGGCCCTGATATAGTACCCTTTATAGTAGGATCCTCAATATAAGGCCCCCAAAATAAGGTACCCCCAATTTCGGAAACGCCCATGCTGTGCTGTTATTGATCGGACGCTGGCCTCGTCAGCTCCATGCGGGAAAACTCGGCCCAAGGCGCAGAGGTCGCTCGTGCTTCGACAACTTCCCTCTCAGCCAATATAGGGGCCTTAATTATTAGAATGGGCTTTAGGGGCTTATACTATCATCATGGGATGTCTCCTTGCGCAGACAGTAGTGGTTGAAAGCTGCGTTCGTCGTCATGCTTCTGCCGAAAAAATTGTCGGGCTGCTCCATCAAGGGGATGGCTCCGTAGCCATTGCATGCACGAGTGGTCACTCGGTAGCTTCTAGCTGCGCCTTGAAGTCGAAAACACGCGATATTTGGAGCCACGGGGTTTGCATGTCCTGTTCTGCCATATCTACCCAGCTAAGCACAAGCAGCGTTCTAAAGCAATAGACATGAATGATGAATGCTCGAGGGGGTGGCACCGTTCGCCGCCTGGAAGCAGCCAGCCTGGGTCTATGTGGTTCAGTGTGTTAGTCCAGGCCCAAATCTTAAGGTCGTGTCACGGCGGTCCGCTGGAAGAAAGAGATGCACGACAGCCTGCAACGACAGTCCATGATAGAATCCAGACGACCTTCAACCCACCTCACTGTTGCCTCGAAACCTAGCTCCTAAACCGGTTGCTATAAGGGTACCACGGCGTTCTATAATTATAGGGATAGGTGTCTATAAAGGTAAAGAAGCCAACTTCTGGGTGCAAGGACCCCAAAGTTGCCACGACGCAGCCCACCACCTGGCTTTGCTCTGCCTGGGCCTGCGGCAAACACAGGGGTTCTTTAACCATTGGTTTTGGGGTTCCCTTGGCACTGTAGCTCCTTTTTCAAAAGGGCTTATCATCATCCCTGGCTCCTCAGCTCCTCCAACCAATATGAATGGATTCTGGTTGAGTACCCTTAACAGGCTCAGGGTTTCAAGTCACAGAAGTAGCCTCAAAGAGTAGCGCTGAGGATTTCACGCTTAGGGGCGAAGCAGGTGAGGAGGTTTCCCCAAAATGCAGCGTTCATGATGTTCATGCTGCGCAGCCCCGAGGTAGGTGCCTTTTTCCTAGTAAGACCCATGAATCTCGACCTCTGCACTAGATCTCAAAGCAAAATGATCCGGGTCACGGAGTTTCATGACCAGGTGTCAAAAGATGAATACATACACTAGATAGACAGACAGATAGAGAGACGCATCGATAGATAGCATGTCAGCTGCATGCAGATTTGTATAGTGTTCCAATGTGACCTTATCTTGAATCGATGTATGTTTGTACGTATTGGTATGGGGAACGACAATGGGAGAGAGAAAGAGAGAGAGAGAGAGAGAGATAACTGATGTAGTATGTGTGCGGGCACATGCGAACCAAAAGCTTCAAACACCCTAAACCCTGAAACCAAAACTCTTATAACAACTACAACATTACAACCGAAAAGCTCAAAGCCCGAATACTTTGAAGTCCAAACCCAAGGCGGGCAGAGAGTGCCTTGGCTCTCCATCCAGTCGACCTGTTGAGGCTCGGGGACAGGATCATTTGGGGAACTGAAGGTTAACCTTTTTGATTATATAGGGATTACATAGGGACTATACTACCCAAAAGGGTTAACTGTTGCCTTCTCTACTACTAGGTCATTGATCATTGGGTTTTAGGGTTTAGGGTTCGCAATCTTGGAGCTAGTCGGCAGAGGTTCGAACAGAAACAAAGTCTTCCCCGACTGAACCGTATATTGCTCTGATTGTTCCAAAGAAACTTAAGGTTTCAAATCCTCAACTTTCACCAAGGCATTCAACTCGTGATATTCTAGCAACCACTTGGCCGCAAAGGAAGCCAACCGCGTGCAATGTCATTTGCTTTGTCAAGGGATTTACTTTAAGTTGCCATAATAAGGGAACCATCTTATTTACTACAGAACCCCATTATGTTTCCGTGTCCAAGTGCCGGACAAGATGGGGCCGGATGCGGCAGATCGCGCATGGAGGGGCTCCTGGAGCTGACACCCAAGGTGTGTAATCGAGGGGCCACAATAATTAGAATAGGGTTCTGGTGATATATTATACCACAGTATAAGGGTAATTATCTAGGAAACTATATTATGGAATCGAACCTGCCGAGCGAACAGAGGAGACTGCAAAGAGGTCACGGTTCCCCAAACTGCAGAACGTGTCAGCCTTCAGGTAACGTGTGCAATACCCCCACATAAGACAACGATCCGAACTGGTTGGAGTTGACATTGGGCCCAGGTTCTACACTGTCGAATGCACGATTTGGGATGGTCCGGACCGAGCCTGGGCCGTGAGTCCTAAAGCCCAAACAGCCCGAGCCCTGCCGTCACAAAGCATCTCTACCATACATTGGGCGGTGGAACAAACGCTTCCAAAGCCTCAGTGGGCAAGCTGGCAGCCCCCGGAACTGCACCGACGAGCGCCATTGCATTGGGCATTGCCTTATGCCTGTAGCTTGACTATCTTACTAGCTTGCGGGTTCGCGGACAAGAAGCTGTGCTCGAAGTCCACCAGTTGCCAGCCTGTTCTAGTCCACGTTTGGTCTGTGAAAGTTTGGCAAAAGCCTGTTGAATCAAGTTCGGGATCGCAGGTTTGGTTCTGCCCGAGCGGTTTCTGGGATTTGTATGGTGGGTCCACCACACCAACTAGACGATAATAGTGGTGACACAATGTGAGAAGGCCTAGGTGTGTTTCATGAAACACTACCAGAACTAACCTGATATCCGACCTGCAAGTAGAGGTAGAGGATCCTCTGGTAATCTTCGGGCAGATTGTGCGGGCTGAGAGGCGTCAGGGGGAAATCTTGAGCCGGGACATCACCACGCCGCAAAGGCGGTACCGAAGGGCCTCAAGGAAGAACCTATTCACAGAGGCGTTGCAAAGGGCTCCAACACAAGAGTGCCTGTGTCTTCAGGTTTATGAAGAGAGAAGGGGAGAGAGAGAGAGAGAGAGAGAGAGAGAGAGAGAGAGAGAGAGAGAGAGAAAGTGCTAGAGAAAGACTGACTGAATGAGCGAGAGAGATACAGGGAGTCTGGATCGGGGTATCTGAAGCTCCCACTCAGATCACGGTGTGTATGTACAATATGTAGTTACATCAAGTTACGTATATGAAAACATATATAAATCTAGCATGTATGTACCGATGTATGCATGCATGCATGCATGCATGGATGTATGTATCTGCACTGTATGCATGTATGTATGCATGTATGCAGGCATGCATATACGTACGTATTTACTTGCGCATGTATGTATGTATGCGTGTATGTGTATATACATATCTATATCTATATCTTTATCTGTATCTATGTGTGTACAAAAAGCTTTTCATTTGTGTTGTCCTGGGTCTGGTTTGGCATAGTTTGGCATAGTACTGTGCAGTAAAGTACAGTACAGCTCAAGTGCCCTGCACCAAGTATGAAGCCCCGTAGACTCCACGCATCTGTGGGACAGGCTTGTCTACATGCATTGCACCGGGTTCCCCGTCTGACTCAAAATCTCAAAAAGCCACATCTGTGGGCTCACGGTCAGCATTTCTTGACATATAGTTTGACATGTGATCTGCATCTTGAACTCGGAACCGTAAGAATTGAGGAATACCTGCTACTGCCATGGGATAGTGTTTACGACCGTATTTCCGTGATTTCGTCGTCAGCTGTGTCGTCAACGTCAGTGTCGCGCCAAGTATTTCGACTGCGAGTGGCAGCTACATTGACATGAACATGAATAAACCATGATGCCTCTCTCCGTGTACCTATTTTGCCGACGAACAAGTGCAAGAAAACCCAAGACCAGCTGACCAGCTCTGGAAGCAAGGAAGTTTCGCCTACACAGCACGTCTTCTGCAACATCGGCCGAGAGCACGTTTCGTATCAATAGAGTACATGCGAGCACATTTACGATACATGATCTTGTTCTCCTGTCTGTCCGGGCTAGAGCTGCTAGGAAGCGGGCGCCTGCTTTTTGACGACATCTTCCGAGGGGTTGGCCATGTGTAGGCTTGGGACTGCACGGGCACTGTTGATGCCAGGCCCTCGCCAACCTTTGAATGTTATATCTCAGCAGGTGAGTGTGTGTGTGTGTGTGTGTGTTGCAGATCTTTTGTCGTGCCACTGCTGGTGCTGGAGCAGAAACAAAGATGACGCAGCGCAGAGTTTGTTCTGGAGGATTTTCAGATCTTCCTGACAATGAGGTCACCAGGTGACGACAGCGCCATCGGCAAGAATGGCTGCGAAAGCCTTGGTACTGGATCGGATCTCCTGCACGTTCTGAAGCTGACCCTGCACAGCGCTACTGTCGCCACCACAAACAGGATCACCCCAGGTCACGACAGACCCATCACCACGAATGGCAGCGAAAGCTCCAGTTGAGGCTTGGATCTGCTGCACGTCCTTCAGCCGATGCTGCACGGCACTACTGTCACCGCCATAGCGAGCGTTAGCCCAGGTCACGACGCATCCACCATCAAGAATAGCTGCAAAAGCGTTTCTAGTTGCCTGGATCTGCTGCACAGTCTTCAACCGATCCTGCACAGCTCGACTGTCACCACCATGCTCAGCATCACCCCACGTCACTACAGATCCATCCCCAAGAATGGCGGCAAAAGCACCGTAAGTGGCCTGGATGTTCTGCACGGTCTTCAGCTTATCCTGCACTTTCCTGCTGTCACCACCAAAGCGAGCAGTACCCCAGGTCACGACCGATCCATCTCCGAGAATGGCAGCAAAAGCACTGTTCGTAGTTTGGATCTGCTGCACATTTCTCAGCTGATGCTGCACAGCATTACTGTCACCACCACGGCGAGCATCACCCCAAGTCACGACAGATCCGTCTGCAAGGATGGCAGCAAATGCATTGTGAGCGGCTTGGATTTGCTGCACTTTTTTCAACTGATGCTGCACAGCACCACTGTCACCACCGTCGTCTGGAGAGCCCCAG